AAGGGTGGTACAAGGCCACCATGGGTAGGATTAGGAGCTGCTGTATGGTTACAAATAGCATCTGGGAATGCATACAATTTCCCCCTTTACTCTCATTCTTTGAAATCTGTTTTGGGGTTTAATCAGCAGCAGCTAACTATGCTTGGAGTGGCAAATGATATAGGTGAAAATGTTGGACTTATTCCTGGACTTGTATGTAACAAGTTTCCACCTTGGGTTGTTCTGTTAATTGGTTCTTTTTCTTGTTTCTTTGGTTATGGAGTTCTTTGGCTTTCACTTAGTCAGACTGTTCAGAACTTGCCTTATTGGATGGTAAAGATTCTTCCTTTTTGTTAAAGATCTAATCTTTGATTGATGTTTTTGAAAATGTTTCATTTATAGGACATTGCATGTTGTTTGGTCTATTTATTTGCAATTGGAATCTTGTTTCACTGTTTTGAGGTGATTGGATTAGCTTTGGAGGGGGGGGGTTGAGAGATAGTTTGTTCCCGCTGTCAACATGGACTAGGTAACTTTATCCATCTAAGATTAGAATGGATGAGAAGTAATCACATAGTATTTTTGTCTCGGAATTTGAATTTGAGACCTCATGATGCTCAAACCACTTCTTGACATTATGTTACACCCTTGGCTACTAGTGAAATCCAATTTCCTGCTAAGATAGGGTAAGGATTTTGTACACACTACCCTCCGAATATCTCACTTGTGGGATTACACGGGGTATATTGTTGTAATGTAATCCAATTTTGTTGGGAAGAGATTGATTTGGTGCATCTCTAAGTGGCATATGTTTGGTTGTAAATCAAAGAGATCATTATTAGTACACAAATTTCAGAAAGATCAGTTATTATAAGTAATGATTCTCCAAAATTGATCGATGCACGTTGTGGTAGCTGAAGGAATTGCAAAATTGTTCTTTGCACCATGACTTTCACGTTTGAAAATGGTGTCTGAATAAGTTTTGTGAAATCATAGCAACTTCCTACCTATAATTAGTTTTCTGTAAGTAGACCTATTTACTCCGGTTCATCTATCAGGATTATGGTTGACATGAAAGAAAATTAGCTTAAGTTTCTTACTTGAAATTGTCCATCCATTTCAATTTGTTGGTCTGGTTTTGACTCGACATGAAGTTTAAGAAAGTAAAGAAGACTTTTGGATCGTGCTGTCTTAAACTGAAGATAGGTAGAATTTACCAAAATGCGTGGACTTAAACATTGCCACATGGAAAGTTAGAACTAAAGAATTGCCAAAAAAGGAAAGCGGCACTTTTTGAAAATGTAGGGAGTATTACATTTCATGAAGCAAATGGTGCTTGACCACTGCTAACAATTAAGAATATGTCCCAGCTGGTATCTTTTATTCTTCTTAGAAGCTGAATCCTTTTTTTCTGATCTTGTTTTTTCTGCTTGGATTGATACACCTGTCACTTTTGTCAATTGAGGCTCAGCCAGTAACACCGATTACCATGGTTTAATTTATAGAACTGTTCCATGTTGTCTTTTAAGTTGTTCACTGCTGCTTGGTGAAGTTGTACCCTCTGATGCTCAATAATCATTTTCGGGTTTAAAAATTTCCTACTGTTTCCATTCATTATTGCCTGAATCCTCTCATTGACACTACTTATAGTTTCAAGAGTTAATGTTGTACTTCATGGTTTGACAGTTATGGATTGCACTCTGTGTGGCCACGAATAGTAGTGCTTGGTTCAGCACAACTGTGCTTGTGACTAATATGAGAAACTTTCCTCTAAGCCGAGGCACGGTTGCTGGGATTCTTAAAGGCTATGGAGGGCTCAGTGCTGCAGTGTATACAGAAGTCTACAGTGCATTGCTTCACAATTCTTCATCTAAGCTCTTGCTGTTCCTTGCACTAGGGGTTCCTGCTTTAAGTTTGTTAATGATGTACTTTATTAGGCCTTGTACACCATCTTTAGGCGAAGATTCTTCAGAATCATACCACTTTTTGTTTGTCCAAGTAGCTAGTATTGTTCTCGGTATCTATGTATTAACAACAACAATTTTGGAAGATGTATTTTCTTTAAATGTCTTAGTTTCTTACACTTTTCTCATTATCATGGTGGTCCTTCTAATGGCTCCGCTAGCCATTCCTGTGAAGATGACTTTTTATCCCTCCAACCGTGGCAAGCTGGGTGTGTCCGATGTATCAGTCCAAGACAATAGCAGTGCAGAGAACTCAGAACCCTTGTTAACACCATTATCATCATCAGCAAACCTAGGAAGTTTTCAAGAGGGAGATGAAATCTCTGAAGTGGATATGCTTCTGGCTGAGGGGGAAGGTGCAATAAAGAAAAAGAGGAGGCCAAGAAGAGGTGAAGATTTCAAGTTCACTGAAGCTATGGTTAAGGCAGATTTCTGGCTTTTGTTTTTGGTTTATTTTTTCGGTGTGGGTTCTGGCGTTACTGTTCTCAATAATCTGGCGCAAATCGGAATAGCTCAAGGGCTTCATGATACAAAGATCCTGCTATCACTCTTCAGCTTCTGCAACTTTGTTGGTCGTCTTGGTGGAGGAGTTATTTCAGAATATTTTGTCAGGTGTGATCCTTCAACCTCTTAGTTAATATTTGTATTAATCCCCTCTTGTTGCCCCCGAGTCTCAATTTCAAATGGCAAAGGTTGAGGGATTTGTGACATAGGGTCACAGGTTTGAGCCTTACACCATGCGAATCTGGTATTAAGTGAAAAGGGCAGCCCCCCTGCACTAAACTCCCGCTATGTGCGGAGTCCAGGGAAGATCTGGACTACAAGGGTCTATTTTACATAGGCATATGCTGCATTTCTACAAAAGGTTTTTTCCGCTGCTCGAACCCAATACTCATGACATCCTGGTCACATGAAAACAACTTTACGAACTACACCGAGGCGATTAATCCCTCTTTTTTGACTGAATTATTTTCAACCAATGGAAAAATGAAGTAGAAAGGAAATGATGATAGGTGGTTTCTTTGCTTAAAACTTAGCCCAAATTAATTAGTTAAGCAGTTATTGCTACTGTTAACTTTATGCTTTTGTCAATAAAATTGAAAGGACAACATCTTTTATCCAAGCATCTCCCATAGGATAATCAAAAGCAATTTATGGATGAGGTAACTTATTGAAGATGCTTGAAAATGATTAAGTAGGCTGCTTGTTTCAGTTATAGTGTTTCATTGTTGTAATACTAGCACCGATCTAATTGCTTCTTGTTTGATTTGCAACACAGGTTAAAAGCAGTGCCTAGAACAGTTTGGATGACATGTACGCAAGTAGTAATGATCATTACCTACCTTCTGTTTGCTTCTGCACTTAATGGTACCTTATACGCCGCGACAGCATTACTAGGAGTCTGCTATGGTGTTCAATTTACAACGATGGTCCCAACAGCCTCTGAGTTGTTTGGTCTCAAGCATTTTGGTATAATTTTCAATTTTATGTCGCTAGGGAACCCCTTAGGTGCTTATCTCTTCTCCGGTCTCCTTGCTGGGTATCTCTATGATAATGAGGCAGCGAAGCAGCATTCTGCTACTTGCTTTGGTCCTGATTGCTTTAGAGTCACCTTCCTAATTCTGGCTGGAGTATGTGGTCTTGGCACGGTGCTTAGTATTGTTCTTACCATGAGAATAAGACCTGTTTATCAAATGCTTTATGCTGGCGGATCCTTTCGGCTACCTCAAAGTTCAAGTCATTAAGGTATCTTGAAAAAGCTTAACCCCCGTCATGTGCTAATGTTATAAAGGGAAGTACATTCATCAGTAATCGCCTGTGAGTTCAAATTTCGGATAGTATGATATTTACGATAATTGTTGTCATTTGTATGATATGTTTGAAAATTTTAGCTTTGTTAGGGTGTGTCCACAATGTAGCATCTTGCACATAGATGCGTAAACTACTGTAACACTTGATACATCAAGTTATAAAGCATCTACTTTGTTTCCACTCCATCCTCAAATGGTTATACAATCTTTGTATCATTTCCCCCTTAAGACTTACATCTAAATGCTATGAAAACTGTTCCGATGATACAATACATTACATCGGGTATATGCTTCAAAGGAAACTGGGAGTATAGTTTCTGATGTTCTCAATAGCTAGAAAAAGCATGGAACTAGACTGATACTGAAGAATATATTACAGTTATCAGAACTAATCTGAGATTTAGTTATCAACAGATCAAAGGAAGCATTACTACGGAAGCATATTTATGTAAAGATGAGTTGATCTTATACACCATTTGTATTTTAATTCAATGAAGTCTATAGTTATGTTTATGAATTTGAATTGCTTTATGTGATTTGAATTTCTAATGGCCTATCCTTATGGATAAAGCTCAATTCTGGTAAGTTTTGGTGCCTTTGGAATGACATGAACCCTGTCTTTTTCAGTATCAAAAAAGTTTTCCATGTGAAAGTCGTTATCAAGTCCCCCCATCTTTCCAACTCTTTTGTAGAATAAACTCGCAGGAAGATCCCTTTCACTATGCATGTAGTTTACCCTGAAATCATGCTGGTTCTGGGTCCTGCTGTTTATCTTTAATATCTTTCATCGATTGGAAAACTCGAACTTGATCATATATATACATATTGCTTAACATTACATGAGTGAAGAAGAAAAGGAATTAGCATAGCCTTCACTTGAAAGATGCTAATGGAAATGGAATGATACCAAAAGTGACCTTTAAGGTGTTGATGGATTAACTAGAATTCTTTCTGTTAGTCTTTTATTGCATATATACTTGTAGTTGATTGAGCTTTCTTTTTGGTAGCTCTGTATTGCTCTTTGTTTCTTTTTAGTATACTTTCTTTGACATTTTTTCTTGGCTTCTATTCTTTTCTCGAACTACTTTGTAATGTTTTTACTTGAGTCGAGGGTATATTGGAAACAGGTCTATCGGAATCACAAGGAAGAGGTAAGGTCAGCGTACACTCCAAACTCCCTTGACCCCACTTGTGAGATTACACTGTGTATGTTGTTGCGTTGATCTCTTGGGAAGATTCAGGATACTAGATCTTAAAAATTCATTTTTCTGTTCAATATGAAACAACCATCATACATATTTGATATTAAAGTTCAAGACTTTCAAAGTACACAAATGCAGAAAAAAAGGTTACAACAGAACAAGGATTTGTTGAGACAGCAAACCCCATGCTTGTGTGCCATATACCTTTAAAATGCACTCTTTACTAAACTAGGTGATTGTGGAGGTGGTAGGTATCTCGTGGAATTAGTCGAGGTGTGCAAAAAGCTGGCCCCGGACCGACACCACAGTTGTAAAACACACACAAACATACTAACCTAGGATACTTTAATTTGCAGCAAGTCTTACAAGATGAAAGCTTCATATGAGTTGTCAAGTGGGCTTCATATCTTGAAACATTAAAGACCATTGTGAGTAGATAACTCCATCATCAGGCATCATTTCTTGATTATAGTGATTAACTCTTGGGCTATTATATCCCATTGCATCCAATGGTCCAGATTTATTGATTCTGCTTGGATAAACAGCACTGTCTTTGTATCTTCTGTCCAATGGACCAGACTTCATTGGACTTCTATTAGGGTACATCAACTTTTCTTGAAGTACTCTCCCATCTAGAGGACCTGAGGCACTCAGATTTCTGTTGGTGGCCATAAATTTGTCTTGCATTCTTCTGTCTAGTGGTCCTGAGTTCATTATCATGCTTCTTGTTGTGACTATGGCTTTCTCTTCCTTCGAGCTCTCGAGCTTCCTTAGTGCTCCGGTCCATTGTGTTCGATAAGGTTTGAGCTCGGAGAGAGCTAGACGAGTCGAAACTCTGTGGATACTGAGCTTGCTCAAGTTCTTGGCAAGTAGCTTCTTGGTTTTGTTGATTGCCAAAACAAGTCTTGAAAGACCATTTGATGATGAACTTGTTCCTCCTCCTCCGATTCCGCCTCCGCCTTCCTTTCGAGCCAATTTTAGAATCTCTAGCCTATGTTTGGCTACAATTATCCCCATACTTTGAAGGAACTCATGATTGAAGTAAATCAAGTCCTCCTTTTGAAGCTCATTTCTACTAAAAACAAGACCATACTCATAGATAAGTTCTTGATCAAGGCTACTCTTGGATAACCAAGAATACCAATCCATGTTCTTCATGTTTGCTAGTAAGTTATGTAACTAATGAGACATATATTATGCAATTTGAAACCCCACCTAAAAGAAAAAAAGGGGGAAATAAAGCTCACTTGTGTCTATCCCCACTAAATAGATAGGGGGAGGAAGGTGGAAAAGGTCAAGAGCAAGTAAATGAGTTTGAAAAGGAAACCAAAATATAGTGGTGGGTCACTGTAACAAAAATGACCATTAGCGATATTTAATTCTTAATTGCCACTAAATATGTATTTTTAGCGGTAAATATCACTCTTTGTATATGTTCCTAAAGCCTTTAGCGACTATGCCGATAAAGACTTTAACACTCTTTATTAGAGTCAATATTTAATGCCGCTAAAAGTTGTTTTTGTTGTAGTGGGTAAAGATGATAGGTAGCTAAATAAAGAGTCATAAAAATTCATTAGGTTGTTGGTTTGCTTGAAAATTAGGTAGTTAGACCTCATTGAAATTGGTTTTAATATAGTTTTAAATTCAATTATAAAAAATCACCTATTTTTCTCAAGAGAATTTATTTCATCTGTATCCTATCTCATCTACTTTTTTTTCTTTTACTTGCATTTCATACACAAGTAGACATAAACTTGCCTAAACTTAGATATCATGGAAAACTTGAGATGTATTGTATATGACCTAACTTTCGCCAGAGACAAAATGCTACTTGATTTCTTTCTCATCTAACGAAGTTTTGATATGTTAGTGTGTACGTAAACTGACTTATACGCTACGTTTTATCGATGGAAAAATGTTCCAATTGGACATATCTATAATTGTACTATAGTGTAATTGATGGGAAATTGCTAAGTGCTAACAACCACATGCCCCTATACCTACAAAGGAGTTGTTTTTATTGAAAAGGGCAAGTAATTACTACTCACATGGCAAACCCTCAAGATAGTCCTCACAAAGCAAAATACACTAGCTTGATTAAGACACTGTACACCTTTTCTTCTTCTTTTGGAACCACAAAAAAAAAAAAACTTTTTCCTAATGTTTGGTTTAAAATTTAATAATAAATCTTGTTTTTTGAGAAAAAAAATGATTTTCTTTTTATATTTTTAACAAATAAATGTAATAAAACAATCAAGTTAGGATCCATATCAAATCAGTACTTTTATATATATATATATATATATATATATATATATATATATATATATA